ATATAATATTATATTGTACTCATATCGGTATTTTCTATTAATAATTATCATTTAAACAACAAAAGATCATTTATTCTACTACGTGCCAATATTTTGTTTTGTTTAATATTGTAAAATATTAAATTCTACACGTTTTGAATGGAAACGAATCTGACGTAAATTGAGAGTCAGAATCAACAAAATAAATACAAAAATGCACTAATCATGGTATAAAAAAAAAGAGTGGTATTATAAACTTGGTAAATACAAAATTTGATATTGTAAAGATTTCATTTCAAAGTTAAACAAAGAAAGGAACCAAATCGGTCATAAAACAAAACTAAAACAACAAATATATAATTAAAAAAATAAGATGTAAAAGTGTGATATAAATAACTACAACAATTCGATCATTATCATTCAAAACGTAATAAAGGTTTTTTTTTTAATAAATAGCATTCAAATTTTTAAGATACACGATTAACATTCAAGCTTATCATTTACATATACAAAAAAAATACGATTTTCATATCCTTATTTATCACGTGAAAAAATTGTACATTATGAATCCAAGCAAAAAAATTATTGTCTTATTCAAAAGAGAAATACACAAGATCCATGCAAAATGAATTATAAATATACAAAAATTAATTTATTTATGAAATACCTTAAAAATATGATTTACATGTCATTCGATTCATTTAGTTAGTTTTGAACTATAAATGATATAATATCATTATTATTTTTTTCAACGTAATTATTTTTATAAATATTGTTTACAAAAGATACCATTGAAATTCCAAATATCTGTTAAACATAACAAAACAAAATGTTCTAAATATTGTAGTTGATTTGGAATAAAAAATGAGTGATTGAAAAAAGATACTATAAATCTGCACTTTAAGGTAACAACTTTTCTTATATTCCATATAAAATTAAATTTCACCTCATAAATCATATCTTTAATATTTGTCACATTATTACATATCTTCACTATAATTTTATTTCGTGGTGTTGGCATTCCAAAAATCAACATAGAATTAAAGAAATGAGGTGTTTATCAATTACCAAGTAGAGAGAATATCGGCCTACAGTTGCCAAGTGCCAAATGATTTTGCATGGAAAAACGATGAGACTTTTAATAATGTATGACTTTTTTCTTGACGAATATTTTATGATTAGTTGACAAATCCCCTATGTATCAAAACTTATATTAATAGCCTTCTATTTATAAATTTAACCAAAATAAATACAGTCCGTGCATCGCACGGGGTACGTACTAGTATATATAAAGAGGTTGTTGGAAAATTCATTTTCAGAAACTTTGACCAAATAAATAAATAAGTTGACTTTCTATGTTTAGACTATTTAAAACAATGGATAAGAACTATAATAAAACCTAAAGATAAGGCTTTTCAAATTTTCAAAGATAAGGGTAAGAGTCATAATAATCGAACTTCAAAACAAATTAATTAAAAAAATTGATATTTGAGTCAATCCAACAATTGATAGAAATTGTAACAAAAAATCAAATATTTTAGGACCACATTAGAATTGCATTTATGAAAATTCCACACCAATCTTATCATAAAGTTTTCACATTAATTAAACTTCTAAAAAAATAAACAATAATTTATAATACAGTTCATGTACACTTATATTATCATAATCTAAACAAGACGTGTACATTACCTCAGTTATCATAATTGAAAAAAGTTTAAACAACATAATTAGTATAAGAGTCCTTAATATTTGACATTAAATAATATAATAATATAGTTTATCATGCTATAGTATTAACAAAAATTGAGTTTGATATAGGATACTATACTGAACCCGGTTTAATGAATAAAGCGAATACATTTTAGAAGATAAGCCCACGTGCGGACTAAAGACATATAACACCGCGATATGGGCCAAGCTTAATTAGGGCCCAACAGGTACACTTCCCCTATAAAAGGGGGGTTAAGGTATTTCTTTCTCTCATTCTCTCCTCATTACATTACTACACTTTCTCTCTCTTGATCTGGGCACTGACTTAGGCATCGAAGGCCCGACGCCGAGGCCACCCCCGGCGTTGGGTTCTGCAGGTGCGGAGGCCGTTCGAGTTGAAGGAGCCTGGTGAATTATATTCACTTCAGAGTTAATGAGGAAACACATGTAATGAGCAAGTTAAAACACGTTATAAAATCTAAACAACTAAATCAATTGATTA